TCAACTCCTTGCGCTTCGTCGTCACCCTCCTGGGCTGCCTTTGCTTGGCCCATGAAGCACTGCAATTGCCTCTCGGGGTCATTCCTCGGATCCAACGGACATCTACACTTCGACGGAAGTCGAGGGCGGAAACTCATCGAAACACTTCGACTCTTCGCTGTCAAGGCACAGCTCCGTGTATGCATTGCAAATCTCCTTTGTGTTGACGAAGAGCTCGAAACGCTCCGTCAAGCCAGTTTTGCTTCTATGCCACTTGGCCAGTGGGCTCATCACTTGAGGATGTTCTGTGATGAATGTCGGGTTGACCTGAAGCCGAGAACTCTTGTAGTGAGCCTTAGACCAGCCAGCATGGCAGCTGAGAAGCAATGTTGTCTTCGATGAAGTGGCCACAGAGCTTGTCCAACAGCCTTGCGGCAGATCGCGGCGGGGGGCATTCTAACTCCAGCTTGGTCACCTGGGCGCAGAAAATCAGAACTGATTCGATGCTTTTTGGCATCTAACAGCCGAGGTGCAAGGTCATCTAGCTGCTTCACCGTGGCCGGGTCGTCAAAATTGCGCCTCAACGCAACCGTCAAAATCCGAATACTTCAATCACACCCCGGAAATTGCATCTGTGTGACATCATGAAAGAACCCCTTCGAAGTACCTCCCCAACACTCCTGCGCACGTATGCCCATCCCCAAACCTCTGCAGCAAAGCAGATGCGAAGAAATTTTCGCGTGGCTCACGCTATGCAGCCCTGAACTCCAGACCAACAAAGTCTAAACTTGAAGCGCTCGCCGTAGTTGCAATCGTCGTGGCATTTAACATGCCACGATTCGAAAAACTAATTTCAAGATCTGCATGGAGGGGGGAAATGGTGGCATCATTTCCTGTCAAGATGGGGTCCATAATCAGAGAAGCCAGCAAGCAAGAACGTCGATTGCGAGGCAAAGGAGCGAGCTGTCTCTGCAGCAAGCAAAAACATCTAAAGAAACTTCTTCAAATACATAACAGTACTACATTACGATTGAAAACCTTGAACCTTCCTTTGGACAGTGCCCTTGGTGTGAACACCGCAAATATTCACAACTCTTGCCAGATGGCCCCAGTTTGATATTGCCCTTCTTCTCGATCTCTTCAACCATAGAGACGCGCGGCCACGGCGGAGTGAAGTCAATCTCCACGGCTGGACCATCAGGTCCCTCCGGGTGATACTCAATTTTGTAACTTCCCTTGATGTTCAAAACCATTGCACTGAAAAGCTCTTCGGTCATGTCCATCAGGTCATTGTAGTCTGCGTACGCCATGTAGAATTCACATGCTGTGAATTCTGGGTTGTGCGTCAGGTCAATGCCCTCATTGCGGAAGTTTCTGCCTATTTCGAAAACGCGGTCCAAGCCACCGATTACCAACATCTTCAGGTAAAGCTCGGGAGCCACTCGCATAAACAAGTCTAAGTTCAGCTCGTTGTGGTGTGTAACAAACGGCTTTGCAGTTGCACCGCCGGCAATCATGTTCATCATGGGGGTCTCTACTTCGAGGAAACCACGGCTGTCAAGATAGTGCCGAATGAAATTGACGATCTTGGATCGGATGTAGAAGGTTCGCCTCACATCCTCGTTCAACATAAGGTCCAAGTATCGCTTTCGATATCTGACTTCCTGGTCCTTCAGCCCTTGATGATCTTTTGGCAGCATGTGCAAACAAGTTGAGAGAAGCTTTACTGCTTTCGGGAATACTGACAGCTCGCCCTTGTTGGACTTGCCCACAAAACCGCGAATACCCATAATGTCACCACGGTTGATCCTTGGCTGCTAGGAAGCTGGAGAATCAACTGGGGTTATCAGATCGCTGCTTGCAGCCAGCAGTCTTCGCATGTTCCTCTGCAAAATCGCCATCTTCATGATGCTGCGCTTGACACATCACTTGCACACGCACGCCGTCTGCAAAGAGATCGTAAAACAGCAGCTTCGCTCCAGATGTCCGCTTGTTCTTGACTCGACCGGCGATAGACACTATCCTTGGGACTGTGTGGGACTTCAAGCTGGATTAGCTGCGTTCCCTTCAAAACCTCAGACACGGCTGTTTTTCGGCAAGAAGCTCCGACTCCATGTGCGCCCCTGCCTCGATGTCCTTGTACTTCTCCACGAGGTGGGGGATAGAAATGGTCACATTCCACTTGTGTGGATAAGGGTCGGCTAGCTTTTTCAAGGCCGCAATCCGATTTTCTCTGTATTTTGTCGGGTCCAAGTCCTCCCGCTGAGCGAGGTCTTCTCTCACAGTTCATAGGTTCTTGGCAGAGCACTGACAACAGGAGTCCTCCAGATTTTCTTCTGGAGGCTTTCCAGACGATTTCGCCTGAGCCCCATCAGCTAACCCGTTGGGTTACGAGTCATGACAGTGGCTTGGCATGAAACATCATGGTCCGCACCTGCTCCTGCTTCTCAGCATTCTTCTTGGCCTTCTCCTCGGCCCTGGCTTTTGCCTCTGCCTCCTACCACAACACAACTTTCCAGTAGTTGGGTTTCGTGCGCACGCTTGCCCCGGCTCCTTCTTCAAACGCTTGCGCTCCGCTGCAGGCAGCCTGTCGGCTTTTTCAGCATCTGCCATGGCCTCTGTGCTAGATCACAGGAGGACTCCGGGTGACGAGCCCAAAGGCTGCGAAGGTCGTGTGGTACACACAGCCAAAGTACCTGCGACCGTTGCGGAAGTTTCAGTGTGCTTGGTGAAAATCACAGGGGAGTGATGCTTGTCCCCATATGTTACCACATGTTTCCAAGAACAGCGGCAGGGCAACATGTGGCAATTCTACATCAGTCAGGGCGTGACACACTGCCACAAAAGGGCTAGAGCTGTGCTGTGCAGGCGCTTTTGTGTGATTTATGTGTGATTCGGACCAGCCGGAGTTGCAACGAAACAATTCAGCTCATGCACAGACATGTGAGAATCTTTAGGAAACGATGCAACAGTCACGTCACAACCAGCAGCCGATGGAATCTGCACGCGGGTCCACACCCGAAACTTCGCACATTATGATTCGTCCACGAGCCGATGTTTAGGAGGATCGCCATTAGTCTAAAACACGGGAATATTCGATGTCACGTGAGCCGCACAACACTAAGATAGTTACAACGTCTGATGAGGTGGTGAAAGTTCTCATTCCCTCTTGTGGGGATGTTTGTTTGTTTCGGAACGCTTGCTCGTGACCCCAGCACGCGTATCCACCCTGCAATCTGCACAAGACCGGCTACTTGGCGTCGAAAGAATCTGCTGCACATATCTTTGCACATGCATCTGTTCGAGACTTTTTCTGTTGCTGGCTTTGAACGACACCAGCTGCAATTGTGCATGACAGTGGTCGGAACTGACCAAACAGCACGGCGCCCTTCAGGCTAAGCAGCACGAGGCTGCGCATTCTGCGACTGGTGCGTTGGCCTTGGGTCTGCATTCACTACATGTTGTCTTTAACCATCGTCGAATGCATGCGGCAGGTCTGACCTTGTGACTTGCCAAGTGACTGGTATGCCGGCGAAAACTGCTGCATTATAGTCTGAAGTGCCGGGCACTTCTGCAAGGTCTTCACAAGGTTGGCATGATGGCATGGTGATGTAGCTGACCACGAGATGTGCCACGCCTCAGCGGCCCAACGAAAACGGATGACGGCACTATGCACGTGTACCTACGTCTGCTGCCGTCTAGTGTCTGTAAACTGCTCGGCCACAGTCTTGCGCTGCTCTCATGATATCGCTTCCCACCATTGCTTCCAAAATGCACTCAATGTGCTGCAAAGCCTTCCATTCGTCGTGAAGGTTGGACTCTCTGGCCTTCACTGTGTTTCTTACCAGATCGTAGGAAAGAGTTGCCTGTGATCGGCAGGCCTGGTACTTGGAGCAGGTTGTGTTCATGGATAAGGAGAGATCACAGGCGGCCGAATCAAGCTGCCGCTGCATCAAATTACAGCTTTCGCGCTGACGCTTGACTTCTTGGTCTTGAGTGTCACAGGCTGACTCTTGCAAATGGAGTGCGCCGGTGGTGTTCTCGCATAGGAGTCGTCGGATTCGAATATTTTTCAACCTGTCTTGGAATACTTCAAGCATGCGATGGTGATAAGCCTCGGCGCTTTCACCGTTGAGGGTCGAGCAAACAGACATCTCTGGGATTCTGTCCAGCAGCCTTGCCGATTCGCAAGTCGAAGCATCGACCAGTCTCGAAGATTGCAAGGCGGTTCTGCAAGCGTCCAATCTGTCTTGCAGCAGGGACTCCTGCTTTCTGCATGCTCCATGGTTAGCGATCAATACTGGGAGCGCTTCTTGCTCCAGATAGGACTCGTTCAGACCGACTCCACGCACCTCCTCGCATTTGGCAAATAAGCCGCTGAATTCAGCTATCTGTGACTGGATCTGACGATGCTCTGTCAGAATCCTGGGTTTAAGATCGCTCGCTACCATTGTCATAACATCATCCTTGACTCCATGTAGGAGTTGAGAAGGAATTTGCGATGTGTTCTGAGCCATTGCGAGTAAAGTCGCCTCCAGATTTTTCAAATATGGAGCCGCTGACCTCGATCTATCCGAACCTAGCTTGAGTCTCGCCGTCTGGTTGAGGGCTGCAAGAAGAGATGCCAGTTTCGGATGCAGATCACGCTGCGTGTCTTGCCTCAAGAGTAGACATCGAGTGGGCCAGACCAGAGTCAGCAGAAATGAGACCAGCACTACATTCATTGGCACCTGATCAAAGGCACCCACAGGTAATACATGGTGGCCAGGATAAAACCTGGCCCTCCTGAGCCCACGATCACGGGATGTCGCTTCAGCAGCTTCTCTAGTGAAAAGAAACAGGAACAGCCCGGATCAGCAAGACTTGTCTTTGACACCACATTCAAACAGCAGACGTCGTGCCTTTCTCTTGCCAAGGGCGGAGCTTCCATTCGCGACTGCACTACACGCATGCTGTCCTGCTGATAGCCCAGCAAACTCTGTAGAAAGACGGATGAGAAGAGCCGTCTCTGTACAATCCAATCATCGGCTCAGCCGCATTGCCCGCCCAGCTTGCTGGTAGCGAAGTGAAGCTTTCCGCAGATCGGCAGCCCAGGGCTTCTCCATCTTCAGCGCCTAAGACAAAGTCTCACCGTTTTCCAGAAGCACAGTTGGAGAGATAGCCGAGGCGCCGCCCGAAGCTCCAGCACCGTTGCATCAGGATACATTTCCTCATTGACACCGCAGGGCAAACTTTCGCAACTCGACCGTACAGGTCCCGGGCTTTTAGACTGTGAAATGGTCAGTATCAAGCACTGCCTAGTGGCTTGCAGAGGCTGGAACAGCTCGTCCTTTGTGGCCTGTTTTCTCTTGATGCTGTCGACTGAGATACTAGAGAGCACGGCCTGAGACTGATGCACACACTCAAGGCACGCAAGAACCCGAACCGCACTAGAAATTGCTGAAGTTCTCCAGAGTTTCGGAGGGCTCAGCTTCCACCTCATCCAGAATTGCTAAGAGTGTCTTTCGCTGCTTGTCATCCAAGAGATTGGACACGTCCATGATAACTTGTCTTGACTGAGGCTTCGATGTTGCATGGATTTGCTTCCAAGCTCTCTCAATGGCCCTTCCAGTCAAATCTGCTAGCCGGATCGGTTCTGGCATGTATGACCCCCCATCCACGATACATTTCAAGACCACATTCCGGGCAGTGTCGTGTGAAAACCTGTGTCCAGCGGATACGTACACTCGCCGCGAACTGTCTTGAACCTTCGCTTTGGCAGCTGAAGTGCGGACAGCAAATCCATAGTTGAACCCACTGGTGCCAACAAGTGGGATGCTGTCACCTGGCTTTGACAGCACCTTCTCTTCTACTATCCGCCCGTGCTCTTTGTCGAAGTCTTCGAAGCACAGAAGCTTCTTGGCCACGCCAACTGTGCGCAAGTTGTGGAGGATGCCAAAGTGCGAAGCTGAACCACACTGCCGCGGGTGGAACAGACCAGAGCCGTCAACCAAAAAAACATCGGGTTCTACGTCAGGCGCACTGTCCCTCAAGCGTTCTAGAAGCAGTTCGTACGCCGGAATTTCCCTCACGAACAGAAACCCGGAAATGTAGGGAAGAGCCATGTCAACATCTACGGAATCTTCGTAGATCAGCTTCAGGTGGCAATCTCGCAACTCACAGACAACCAGTACCGCTGTGGCCCGGTTGGTGCCATCCTCGAAGCCGATGTCGAGACCACCTATCCTGCGAAGATCATCGGTCGTCCAACCGTCATCATCACAGTCCCGTAGACGAGTGCGCAAGTTCTTCTGCAAGTCTTCCCAGTCCTTTAGCTCAGACGAAGTGACAGAGGCAGAGGCAGTCTCGAGAGTCTGGACATGCTCTGTCACCGGCAGGCCGGTCGCTGCAGCACACGCCCCACACGCCCCACGCCAGAACAAGGATCTGTGACCAAGCAGGCCCAGCGACAGCAAATATGACATGTCCATGGCATCCGCAAGAGTCAAAGCACTGGCTCACAGCTGTGAGAAGCGCCTGAGCCTTCGCGCGGTCAAAACGGGCACTTGATATCTTCATGCTTCGTCTTGCATCGCTAGCAAGCACCCTCTATACAAAGTTTGCAGGAAAGCTGGCTGTCAGATGCGAAGAACGACAATTCGTCGGGTCTTTGCAACCTCCAAATATGAGAATCCAGCACGAACATTGTTTACACAGTGTGGGCTCTAAAATGTCTGAAAGGTGCACTGCCGAAAAACAGCCGACCCCAGTGGTATAGTTTGGCTTAGTTCTCTTACAGATCACAGTGCTCTGACAGGAAGTCGCGGCTGTAGCTACCAAAGCACTCGCAAGCAGAAGTTGAAGTGCTGCATGGGAGCAGCACATCTGGCAGGCCCACTGTCGAACGACGAGACGAGATCCTAAAAATACTCCAAATTGTTCCAATCGCAAAAATCTGAAATACATGTCTTGGTCAGGAACCCCTGACATGACAGGCAACGGTCATACTCCAAGAACAGAAACCACAACCTTACGCAACATTGAGTTGGGCATGATAGGCCCCCACAGTGGGACAGCGGAGGCTGCAACCCCTCCATCATCCAGGCATAAGTTCCTATGCCAATGACAACAAGCCGCCATGGAAAGTAGAAACAGGATGCTCGTGCTGTGAACCCCCCAAAGTTCGCTTTTGGTAATGGGGTTATGCCGGCGGACAAATCTGCTGTTGAGGGAAACCACAACCCCGGCTCAAGCCCCACTGACGTATCGTTCGTTCGATTTCACGAACTACAACAATGGCCAATGAACAATCCTGACCTAGAGCACATATATAAACCAGTCGAGACGAGCGCCAAGGCTGCAGGAAAGCAGTGTTGCACACAAGAGTTCGTGCCCAATGACAGCCCGCTGTTCAGACCGCTTTTCTCAGGCAGCTGGCTCTGGCAGACACTTGTACAGCGCTGTGCGCCAGGCGTCATTAGCATTGCCTCGTGTTGCTGAATCTTCAACTAAGGGTCAGCATCGGCCTCACCGGTCGCAAATCTTCCAACAGGGAGATCTGCTGGGTCTCCTGACGGTTTTGACTGGAGGCTCCAGGCGCCAGGTCCAATGCCTCTTTGCAGTCGAGGCACCGCCTCTTTCAGGGAACCTTGCACCTGACGGCTTCGAGCCAACTGACCTGACCAGCATTTCCAACCAAGGACAGACATGGTCTGCCGAAACATCTGCCCGCCTGGGTGCAAGTCTCGTACAATGCGTCGGACTCTCACGAGGCATTGCACCGAAATCGACCAACAAACAAAACGGGACAAGCAACAACACTAGCACAACTAGCACCACCTGCACCGCCTACACTGCGCTGAGCTGTGCTGCATCTAGGCCCAGTCTGGTTGACCTGGTCGTGAGTTGCACTTTCAACCGCAGTCTACGACCCATGGTCATGTAATGACGGGTGCGGGACCTGTCAAATGGACTCAAACGCCTAATTCTCTGTGTTCCAACATGTTTCATTCACATCTTCCACCATTTTGAAGCAACACTTTGAGGGTAGTTTGGGCTGGCCTTTGCAGGTAGAGGTTCGTGCATGCACGAACCCATCACGAGGCACAAGCACCAGCGCTTTTTGTTTGCAAGTTTCCTGGTGACAGAGTTACACAAAGACACACACACACACACACACAAACAGACAAACACTCGGAACAGGGCACAGCGAGTCCCCGAAACTCCTAGATTTCTGCAATCCCCAAGTCTGGAAGGAAGGATTTCGTAGGTCGCAGGGCGTTCTTCCGCAATCCCCTTCTTCGAATGCAAGCCACAGCCACGCTGGCGGCGAGGGTTGACAGGCCAAAGGAGGGGCTGAGGCAGGCGACGTCTGAGTTGCGTCGTTTGTGTGAGCAACATACAGTCCGTTCGTATAACTTTCGCAGTTCGGCTTCTCCTGCTCGACCATTTTTGGCAAGGGGGACCGCTTGGTCTGCTGTTACCTGCCTCGTGCCAATCAGTGTGTGGCCATCGCGACCAAGCCGTGCCTGACCTAGACCAGTTGTCGCAACACCAAGACTTCTTCGTGCAGCATGTGAGAAGGAAAGCCGGCATCGGCACAACAACGACAGCGACGAGACGCCACCATCTATCCACCACCGCCAACAACAGAAGCGGCAGCAGACGAGTCTCAGCATCGCCTGTGAGTGCAATGCCAACTAAGGCTTGGACGAGACAGAGCTTGGCGAGCATCTTTCCTGCACAGCACAAGCGCGATGTGACCAGCAGCACCAGGACTTCGACTTCTAGAGTCTTTCGTTCGAGCCCCTTTTTTTGTGTTGAATGGCTCCCACATCGCAAGCCATCATAGGAAGCGCGGCAGGTCTCTGGAGACTCTAGATCTCTCTCTCTTTCTTTCTTTCGCCAGGGCTATGGCGAAGGGGAAGTTCCCCTACGCCGCGCGCTTTGTGCGCCCCCGACAGTTGCGGGTGGCAAGAAGTTGCATGCATGCCCCCGCCTCATGCCGCCCTCAGTGTTTAAAGGCTTCTCTAGGCGACTGCACTCTGGGAAAGACACGAAGCAAAGCGAAGCACAATGCGACGACATGAAACATGTAAGAGACTACACAAGCTGAAAGATTTGGGGGTTTCCCCAGAGTTGTGGGCGAAAGCTGTCGGGTAATCTGCTTCAGAAATTTGGAGATCTCTCTATCTCTCTCTCTCTCTCTCTCTCTCTGCCGTGCCATCATTCATCAAGAGTCTCGCAATGCAAGGGCACGAAATCGCAGGCTAGAATATCAGGAGGCATAGCGCGAACGCTGAACCTCCGTCATTCTTCGAGCCCACTGGACTGGACAAGAACTTACCTCTACCACAACTTGATGGCAGTCATGATTCCCCGAGTGCAGGCCAGGAAGCACGGCAACCTGGCAATCAGGGCATCTTGCATTCCAGCACTAGCTGCAGCTTCCTGCCGAACCTGATGCATGGAAGTAGTCATCGGAATCTGCAAGAAGCAATCCGCCCTCCCAACCTTTCAGAACAGGTTCCCGGTGGCCGCACTCTGTCCTAAAACTGACGGTCTCGGTTCTGGCGACACTGCAGTGTCCGTGTTGTCGGCTACGTGATTGCGCAGTTTCTTTCTTCCTGCTCTGCCTGGCAAATCCTGCCAAAACCATAATGCCGGCCGTTTCAATTGCCGCTGGGGATTTCTCAGCCTTCACGCTCAGCCAAATGCTGCCTGTGGCTGAGCGAGAAGGGCAACAGCTGACGCCCAAACCTGTCTCTTTGCCAGGCGTGCACCCGTGTTGCACCAGAATATTGGCTTGTAGACTCTCACTGCCGAAGGTTTGCTGGTCTGATGTGGACTGATCAGCTATCCCATGACCCGGCGATACGTAATCGCTCGGTTGGCGGATCAGTGAAGCACAACTTGACCCCGGGACTCTCATTTGGCCAGCCGGGGGGGAAGCCTGTTGGGCCTCCTGCAGGCTTCATGCCTAATCCAAGCCACTTGGACATATAGAATCAACTGCCCCTGCAAAATCCAACGCAGCTTTGTCGAAAACAGCATGTGACGGCTTGCAGTCCTGCTTTGCTGCAGCAGCGCCAGCGAGCGAAACGTTTCCTCGAGTGCAGAATTGCGAACAAGTGCCGAGGCACACGAGCGACACGGTTTCGTGCCTTTTAGATTGGCAGGCAGAACTGGGCATTATGATTCGTGTTGCATATCTTGGAAAGTCACAGCAGCACTCCGCGCCATCCTCGAAACGATCACAAGCTCCAACCGGTTCAACAGTGGTCCTTGTCCGGTGTTTCCGGGATCCTCTGTTGCGCGTGTGTCTCTTTCTCCTTGGCAGGCTAGGAGGACAAGGGGTGCCCTCACGAATGCTCTGCAACTACACTTTCCTAAACACTGGATTGCTTAACCTATGAGTGCCTGGCAAGACTGGCAACAGAAAATTGGCCTGCAGGAAGCAACCTTTTTGGGGCCTACGTGGCCAGCCCGATTGAGTCAGATCTGACATTAAGCTCCTTGAAGCACTATGCCGGGGTGACAGGAAGCCGTCTTCGCAAGGTCAGCTCTGCTATCAGGTACTGGCTTGTCTCGAGAACGCAAGCTGCCGGCGCATCGTGTTTTTGTGCTTAGTGCGCCTTCCCATGGATCGCCTGGTGGCACTTTCGCAAAAAAAGAGTTCGCCGATGTTGATCTAACGCAGACCCGCCCGGAGCTTCCTGAGCCAGCCCACGCCCCACGCTGGTCTTGGGCTCAGCGGTTTCCGAGCCTTTTTGCAGTGTGCTGGAGAGAACGGCAAATGTTCATTCTGCCACTGCCCGGATGGTACGCGTATGGTACTGGAGCCGGGCATTGATTGCACTCAGAACAAACCAGGTGGTGCTATTCCTGGCGACTGTCCCATGATGTGTTTAAAGTGACTGTCATTCCTGTCCTTCCATTGCAGGACATCGTTTTCTCCCAGGATGTTGCATCTAATCCCTTTGTCGAGCGACTCGGGTGGGCTACCCAGGAGTTCTTTTTACCTTAGCAACGTCGCTTCTACGAACATGGCTGCTATGGGTACTGTTGACCGCATGTGAGGAGACAGGCCGTGATGCTGTCCAGGGTTTGTCAACACCAGTCTGTGGGGTGGCTTGCTTGATGTTCTTGAGGCTCGCGCCCCTCTTTCGATGCTCATGCTTTTTTCTCACTCCTCTCCCGGCTTGTCGGGGAGGAGGTTGAGGTGAAGAATGGTTTCTTAGTTGCTCTGCTTCTTTCACCCGCAGGTTTGCTAAGACTGATCCTGGGCGTGAGGTATGTTCCTGCCCCTCCAAATGGGGCATTGCCTTTTTTTATCCGTGGGCGACAAGAACCGCACAACAACTACTAGTACTTAAGTATCACTTCTTCTTCTTCTTCTTCAACACTTGGCCAGGGCACAAGCACTTGCAGCTCCACCACTAGTGATTCTGTCCTCAGTCACGTGTTTGCCAAGTCCCTTTGTGACGAATAGTGCGTTGCAAGGAATACTGGTAGGCAATCTGGAAATGCACTTTTCAGATCTTTGCATCCCTGGCATCTCCGGATTCCTGCTGGCAAAGGCTCCGATCTTGCAGGCGACCTGCCCAATCATCCTCCAGAAATGCAGCTTGTTGCAATCACAGTTGTTCGGGCCGCAACTTGCAGTCCTCTTCCTTTACTCGCCTTGGTAGGACAGGCAGCCACGGTCAAGAAACATGAACTCGGCACAGCCGAAGTACTGGTGAAGGAGCAGTTGCTCCCGTCGCTGCTGGTTCAAAGCTGCCCAGACTGCCCCAAGCCAATCCTGAAATGTTCATGGCTGCCAAAAAACATACGCCTGCAAGACCCTGCTGCCTAGCCGCGAACCGCGCAGGAGTGACAAAGCTGAAACGAAGTGTCAAGCCTAAACTTCATCTGTACATGCGCCTCAGCCTGATCCTTGGCGCGGCGTAGCCTTGGAATACGAGCAACTGTCACTTATAAGCTCAACACGAACAACTGTAAAAAGCCCCGCGCGCAAGACACGATGATGGTTTATGTAGTGTGCTCTTTGGGGGTACCGGAGCTGTGTACTACGATTTCTTTTTCGTACTAGATCTGCATGAAATGTGATTAAGGCATCGGGCGGGGCACGCATGCCTTGCCCCTTTTCTCGTAAAAAGGGTTGTCTCGGAACAGAAGTTTAAGTTTGCAAGATTTTGCAAGATTCCAGAAGGTACGGGGTTGGAGGACTCCGTTTGCGACGGCGTCGGCAGTCTGGTAAGCTTCGATCTTTCTGGAGAATTCTGAAGAGTTCGCCGCAGTGCTCATGTTACACGGAGCAGGCAGATGTTCGGCATAATTAACTGCAGATTGTTTAATGTTGACTTATGTGCTGTCGTAGCGCTGGCAATCCGTCTGGCCTGCCCCTTCTGTAGTCTTGTACCCCGTGCGCGAAGGGTCCCACCTTCAGTGTGGAAGAAGAAACGATTATCGGCGAGTTTGCAATGCTTGCTGTGCTTGGTGCCATTGCAACCCCACACCTGTGAACAACATCGTGTGGA